AGCTTTTCCCAGGAGTCTCCCCATCCAGTTGAAGTTGAAGGAAGCATTTGCTTCAGTCTGCTGATTAGTGTCTAATGAGAGCAGCTAGCAATGTACCATGCCTGTACTGGCACTGCCCGACTCACGGGGTGCCCTCTCTCTCCAGAATCGGCCTGATGGGGAATCCCTCCGACGGCTTCAATGGCAAAACAATAGCCATGACCATTGCTAACTTCTGGGCAGAGGTCACCCTGACGGAGAGCCAAACCTTGGTGAGACACTGCTTTATCCTGCATAATTCGTTTAAAATGAAGTCATTTCATTACCTAATTTCTGCCTTTTTCTACTTGATATCGCTACTTATATTCTCCAGAGTTGATGTCGAGCAAGAAAAAGCAGAGCAGAATTTGCAAAAGAAAAGGATGCAAAGACATTCGCTCTGGTGACCCACTTTGCTCTGGTGTGTGCTTGTCAGGTGCTGGTCCCTCATCCCCTCAATGACCCCACGGAGTTTGGCAGCCTCCAGGACCTCTACTGCATTAGCAGGAAGGAAGGGTACGTACCCACAGTAACCATCACAACTGATGAAGCCTAGAGCATAAGAGCATGAGAAAGAGGAGGAAACTCATTTTCCCAGCTAGTAGCTCACTGATCCAAAGATTTTTATCCTGGCATGTTCCAACAATAGGGTATGGTATCCTGATTTAGACACTTTTTGTGGAAAGATGTGCTTCCCATTCTCAGGTCATCATACCTTGTGTCCTTATCTGGCAGCTGGGCGTGTCTGCTCTGTCCCAGGATGGTGTTGTACTGTATTCGTATTCTCCTCTGTGTGACATCCTTTCTCTGGCTTTATCTCCTAAGGTACCTGGGGGGTTTGAGGCTGCTGCAGGCCACCTGTAAGAAATTCTACCACTTCTGCTCCAAGCAGGGGTGAGAGACGTGTCCACTCTGGGCAGCATCAGTGTCTGCATGTCCATGTGTGTTCTAGCCTTGGTAATGGTTAAGTTCTTCACTTCAAGATGCAGCAGGAGAGGGGTCGTGGGAGAGCTCCAGTTCCTCAGTGGTGTTTGTTAAGTAGAAAAAATATTCAAAAGCTAAAGAACTGTTCTGGTTTAATAACGGAACATCCTCTGTTGCGTTGATGAGAGGACCCTTGGAAAGTCCAGAGACATGATTAAAAGCCAACAGCTGTAGTCTCATTGTCTGATTACTTCTGAACCCGTTTCTAAAACGGACAGGTACTCGACCCAGTACTGTGCAGCTTGCCAATATAATTTCAAAATACAAAAACAAGAGAATCGGAAGGTTTTTCTGAAAAGGTCCCATGTGTCTCCCTGTGTCAACAGGATCGCTTTAAGCAAGCAGAACTTCACTCTGAAGTACGACACCAACATCCCCCGTCAAGTGGTGAGTGTGCACGCGGAGTGTCGACAGCTGGGTTTGCGTGTTCCCCTTGCTCTATTGCAACATGCCATGGAGGGGTGCTACAACACTAGGGAAAGTGTGGTAGAAGCAATACTTATCCAGAATCCAGATGCGATAAG